AACGCTGATCTACACGATATGATTTATAATGCTCGGTGAAGTGAGACTTGCTTTTATATACAATATGACTAGGCAGACATATAATAAGATATTAATTAAAACGCGCTGATATAGCACTTCCTTTTAAGGATGATTAACGTCATAAGTACACAAAGTACACAATGAAAAGATACCTGTAGATCCTGCATTAGTATTTTCACCCATGAGCATGACTAGACGTTTGAAGATGAACTTGAGAAGTTTTTCGAATATGAATTACTTTGAACCTTATCACTCTTCAATACAATGGGCATATGTAAAAATATGAAATCAGCTCTGTATAATTTGTTTGAATCATTAAACATTGAAATTGATAAAGGTAATGATATCTGCATCATCGACGGAGGGTATCTACTACAACGTGTGCTATGGGATCGAGATGAAATATTTTATGTTAATTTTGAAAATATTTTCAATATATTCAACGACATCTTGGTGATAAAACTACAATCGTATTTGATTGTTATATTGATTACAAAAAATAAAAGCAGCAGAACAACTTCGACGAGCTGCAAAAACATCTTCTGTGGATATCATTTTTGATCGATTCATGAAAGTGAATAGTTTACAGCTGCTATTTCAATCAAACAAGCTGATCATTAGATATGTAAAATTTGTAAAATTGACATGGACTAATAAAAAAGAGTTTACTGCTACTGATATTTCAATCACACAAGCTGATAATGAAGCTGATGTCAATTGAAACAGCAATAGAACAATGGAAAAGACAAAATTTGACTATTATTGTTGGTGTAGATATTAACTTGTTGATACCACTAAATGCAAAATATTAAAATACTAAATGATATAATAAATATTAAATACTAAATGAAATAAAAAATATCCAATACTAAAAGAAATATATTTAAGCAAGCAGCAGAACAACTTCGTTGAGTTGGTATCTTAATCAAACGAGCTGTTAATTATGCTGATGCCCTTGTAATTGAAACAGCAATAGAACAATAGAAAATACAAAATATGACTATCATCTTATTGAATATGTTGATTTGTTGATACTACTAAATGCGCAGACTCCAGTTGATAAAATATTTATTTTTTAAGTCTGGAAAAGCTCAAGCACTTACCAGAATATATTCATCATAAAGTTTGACTGCATTTCCAAAATGCCAAACTCATATTTTATTTTTACCCATGACTGGTTGCTATACTACATCAGCTTTTTTAAAGAAAGGTAAAGCAGCAGTATTTAAAATATTCGAAAAATGCAAAGATTTAATTAATTGCGCAGAAGTATTTGCAAAGACTAACCCGTTTCCATGCAAAAAATTGTATTGGTTTTCTTATTGAAACGTGTGGTGCTCCAATAAAATTGACCTTATAGACAAGTATAAATATATAAAATTTGTAACGTTGGCATGGACTTAAAAAAAAGAGTTTACATCTGCTGATATTTCAATTACACAAGCTGATAATGATGCTCATGTCCTAATAATTGAAACAGCAATAGAACAATAGAAAATACAAAATATGACTATCATCTTATTGAATATGTTGATTTGTTGATACTACTAAATGCGCAGACTCCAGTTGATAAAATTATTTATTTTTTAAGTCTGGAAAAGCTCAAGCACTTACCAGAATATATTCATCATAAAGTTTGACTGCATTTCCAAAATGCCAAACTCATATTTTATTTTTACCCATGACTGGTTGCTATACTACATCAGCTTTTTAAAGAAAGGTAAAGCAGCAGTATTTAAAATATTCGAAAAATGCAAAGATTTAATTAATTTCGCAGAAGTATTTGCAAAGACTGACCCGTTTCCATGCAAAAATGGTACTGGTTTTCTTATTGAAACGTGTGGTGCTCCAAAAAATTGACCTTATAGACAAGTATAAATATATAATTTGTAAAATTCGCATGGGCTAATAAAACAGAGTTTACAGCTGCTAATATTTCAATGACACAAGCTGATAATGATGCTCATGTCCTAATAATTGAAACAGCAATAGAACAATGCAAAATACAAAATATGACTATCATCGTTGGTGAATATGTTGATTTGTTGATACTACTAAAGGCACGGACTTCAGTTGGTAAAAATAGTCAATTTTTAAAACCTGGGAAAGCTCAAGAACTTACCAGAATATATTCATCATAAAGTTTGACTGCATTTCCAAAATGCGAAACTCATATTTTATTTTTACATGCAATAACCGGTTGCGATACTACATCAGCTGTTTTTTAAGAAAGGTAAAACGAGTATTCAAAATGTTCGAAAAATGCAATGATTAAATTGATTGCGCAGAAGTATTTGCAAAGACTGACTCGTCTCCACATGATAACGTAAAAATTGTATTCGTTTTCTTCTTGTAACGTACGGTGCTCCAATAAAATTGACCTTATAGACAAGTATAAATATATAAAATTTGTAAAATTAGTATGGACTAATAAAACAGAGTTTACAGTTGCTGATATTTCAATCACACAAGCTGATAATGATGCTCATCTCCTAGTAATTGAAACAGCAATAGAACAATGGAAATACAAAATATGACAAAATGCGTGGTCTCCAGTTAATAAAATTATTCAATTTTTAAAACCTGGGAAAGCTCAAGCACTCACAAGAATATAAACATCAAAAAGTTAGGCTGCTTCTTCAAAATGACAATCTCATATTTTATTTTTACCTACGACTGGTTGCGATACTACATCAGGTTTTTTTAAAGAAAGGTAAAAAACGCAGATGTCGGATTAATAGAAACTTTTGACATTATACATGTAATGACTAATTAACTTCCCGTAGGGCAAGTTATAGTAATCGCAAAAAAATCGAAAATGAAAATTTTTATATATCTTTACGTTTCAGAGGTTTCTGAACATTTTGGCATACCTTAGAAAAAATGGATGTATGTGTGTGTGTGTGTGTGTGTGTGTGTGTTTTTTTTTTTTTTTTTTGTATAGCGAAGGAAATACATTTACGTATTCAACAGACGTGGAATTGTCTGGATATGTCGGACTCAACGATGTTAATACCGACTAAAACCTCCGCTTTCCCCAGGCCTTGTAACCCCCACGGAAACCGCCGTTAGGCATTACTTCGCGGGGAAGGATCTAGCAACAGCTTTTTCTAATTGTAGCTAAGATGTCATACATCTTTCATTCGCTCTTTTTCTCTCAATGAAACGTAGTGTTATGATGACTTCTGTAACATACGAACTACTGGCGTTCCAAGCATCTTCTGATAAAAGCATTGATTCAATCAATGTTTCTGGTTGAATCCTTTGCTTTAAGATTCTTTCCAGTTTATTCCGCTGTGCACTGAAGCGCGGACACACAAAGAAAACATGTTCCGCATCTTCATTAAATCCTTGGCAAGCTGGACATTCAGGAGAATCA